TGATTGACAATTTTCCTGTTAGCAGATAAAACAACTTTAGCTGAAGATCCCTACAGCTCGTCCACAGTTAAAATTTATCTATTGGCTGCTTCTTTACTAATGTTTTTCTTGCAAGTTTAGGTACATGGTTTTGTCATATCTGCATATCTGAATATCTGAATAAACAGCTCTTTGTGAGATGTCCAAAGCATGGGATATTGTTTCAGAGCTCTGCTTGACACTTTAACTCATTGAGATGGTAGCTGTGCTCCTTTTTTTTTTTTTTTGCCTAATTCAGTAGTTTATTAAGGTTCTCAAATAAATGTCATCATCCTTCTTACTATGCAGGGATTTGAACCAAGATTAGGTTTTATGCTGGTAGTTCTTATGAATTAATTAGATGACCTTGGAAGGCGATGGTTGAGTTGTTTTTGTTTAGGAATATAGTATTGGCTTCAAGCAAAAGCATGACACAGTTTAATTAGGAAAAAAATAGGAAACCATACATAACTTCATTTCAACAGAAGAAATACACATGTTTTTTTTTTCTCTATTCTTACACTGGTGCATTCAATGATTCACTAAACACACATTCACTCTGTCCTTATACTTTTCAAATTCTAGGCTGTATGCCTCAGGAGAACCTGAACCTGCTTTCATGTTGGCAAGCCTGTATCTTGTGTGGTCAGGGTCTACACAGTCTGCCATCAAACAGTCACATCCCATCGCTCTGCTTTTGGCCACCCTCTGTTCTCAGAGGTCTTCTTTTTCAGGTTATGTTCTTAATACCCATCCACCTGTGTTTGAAAAAGCCTCAGGGATTTACTTTTAGTGGCAAAACGATCAAAAGGTAGAGAAGGATGCCTGTATATCTACTTCTTTCCTCTAGTGCTAAAGAGTGAAAACAGCTGCCAGACACCTGGTCAGCTCTGCTAAGATAGGAAATAGGTGTGTATATCTGGTTTGATCTTGTAGTTGAGATAGAGCTCAACTCTAAGTAACAATTTTTTTCTTGTAAATATATGGTAAATTATGAAAAAAAAAATCCTGCTGTTCATCAGTTCAAGATATTTTTTCTTTAAAATCATATTTATTATGTTCTGCCGTAATTCTGCATAAAAATAGTGATATGCAGAGCTTTGCAGGAGCACCTGCTGGGTCACAATTAAAGGAAATCTGCTGTAAAAAGATTTAAATTGGTTGGCAAATAATGCTGGTGTATAACTGCTGGGTTCCTCAAGGCCCACTGGGAAACTAAATGCATAATTCATAAATCTGGATTCTCACTTTAAACGGTGTGCTGTGGGATTGATATTGTTTGCCCACCTGTTTGTAAATCATATAATTTGAATAATAAGATTTGCACATGTCTTAGTGTCATGTTCAGGATAACCATTTTATCAGCTGTACTTGAACTACATTTAAGGGTACAGTGCAAAAAACAACATGGACTTAAAAATCCCCTGAGGAGTCCTCTTTCAAATAATCCTTTCTCTGTGCCCAGAAGGAAGAAGTAATTTCCAATTCTATTCAGAAATCTGTGGGCACAGATTCCAGAATCATTTTGCATCAATTGGCAATAAAGCCTGCAGAAGGCTTTAGACCGGAGACCTCGATTTAAGACCCACTAATACTAGATTTATAGGTTTTTTTTCTAGAGCTCATCTCACCTGGGGGAGGTGTGTGATAGCATATTTTACAATAGCTGGATATATTACTCCTACTACATCCTCAAAATATGACGGAATCTGCTATTGATTTGAGTTACTTAAATGTATTTGGGATCTGGCCAAAGTAGAAAAAAAGCTTCTCTTAAATTGAGCTAAGATTGCAACATAATCCCTCATTTAAATTCTTCTAATGGCTGCATGCAGCAGAGGAAAACCAAAAATCAGTGTTGATGTGTTAAATGAGACATTACAAGGCAGAACTGAAAGACATCACAAATATATTACCTATTTTCACACTTTAAAGAATAATTTTTTTTTGTAAATACACAATATGTCAACTGATTTGACTAAGGGTGCAACTAAATAAACAGACTTTTAAGAACAATAAAAGGGAACATAACTCAGCAGCATCATATTAATCATATACTTCTGGGGAGATTCTGGTCCTTTGCTATTTGCTTTAGTTTATTGATATCTGGAGTTATTATACAGATACAGTCTGCACCTTGAGATAAATTATCATGGATGTCAAAAGTCACATATAAACACAGCAACACTCATATATTTACATGCAGATTATTAGTGCAGCGTCCTGTGCAAAGACACTTTTGCACGGGGAAATCTAGAACTGGACTCACAGTCTTCTAGTCTGAAGTCTGGTTTCTCTTTCCACTGATCCAGATCCATCACAACCAGCTGAAGCTGAAATGGAAATCCAGTATGACACTTCACGGAACCCCCACTCTCTAAATGTCCTGCTGGCATCTTTCCAAATTGGCATAAAAAAATTTGTTATATATGCCTCAGACAAGGAAAAGGCAAAAGCAAAAATAATGTTGTTAATATTTGATTGACAATTGCACCATTTTGGCTTTATGTTTACTTAATTAAGTATTAAAGGGTTAAACAGTGTTTTTGGTGGTAGGTTTAATTTATTTTAGAACCTGACAAAGGCCAGATTATTTTTATGCTAAAATGCTCTATGTCTTGTTATTATGACAATGATATTTATTTCTAATATTTTCTGTCTTATTTCAATACTTTGCCTGTAACTTTGGCACTTCTCTCTAGTTTGCATTTGTTTGGTGACATTAAGAAATAGATGTCAAACTCCAGTCCTCAGAGGCTGGAGTCCTGCTGCTTTTTAGATGGGTCTCTACTTCAGCACATCCAAATCAAGTAATTGGCTCATTAGCAAGACAGCTGCATACTGACAAGGTTTTTCAGCCCTAAGATTTGCATGCATTGAGCCAGGGACAGATTTGGTTGTAGCAGGACACCAACCCCTTAAAACTGGAGTTTGACATTCTTGTTTGGAGATTTTTAAAATTATTAGGTTTTGTTCCTATGTTTATATACACGCTCTGATATAGCTACATAATATTAATTCAACATGATTTATTATGATTCTTGTGCCTTTTGCCAAAGATTTAGGACATGGTCCTGACTAAAGAAAATAATTTAGCTGATAATTAAAAAAAATAACATACAGGATGTGGTTAAAGAAGCATTTGAATTATGTGTTTAAAAAAAAAAAAAACACCTTCAAAAACAGCATAAAGTGTGGAAATGAATCGTTGCTTTACACATATTGGTTTTGGTCATGTTACTATTCTGCTTCCCTAAGCTAGAGTCACCTAAAGGAGAGATTCCAGTCACAAAATGGAACAACTGCAAATACTAAACATCAGGAATGACAAAGACACATGCCCTGCAGAAATGCCCATTGCATGTTGGTTCATGTCATTTGACATTTGATTTGGATCCTAAATTTTTTATTTCTGCCTTTGAAAGTCAATGGTGTAAGACCATCCATCCCCGATGTAGATGTCTTAAGTTTTTTCTTTTTCTCTTATATTTCAAACTGAAATAAAAAAAAAGGCTGTAAATTCTTTTCTTGTAGTGCAACCGCTTACAGAAAAGAGAAAAATAAGATTGTAAGTAAAAATAAAATATAAGAATAAAATAAGATGAGGATAAGAATAAAATAAGGATGATATGTGTGTTCTATCTAAATACTAAGTTAAAGTAAGTTTTTGAGCAGGTTTCTCAAATGATGAAAATAAATAATCAATAATATGTATTTGTGTTGAATAAGGTTTTATTCAGATAAACATGAATTCTGAGCTGTAGGCCTACATTATAGGTCATGATGAACTGTTTACAGTCAGTAGCTTTGTGTCCGTCAGTCCAAGCTCTATTTCTTCTTTTTCCATAAGTCACCGAGGCAGTCATTGTAATGTCCTGTGAGGCTGGAGTAGCCCCAAGGGCTGCTGGGTAATGTCAACATGGTGAAAGCATCACCCTTTTATCCTATTTTTGTGTTAAAGAGGGTTGTTTATGTTGGTCGTCTGTTCATGCTAAGCTAACATTATGTTCTTGAGGTCGCAGCTTTAAGTGTTAACTTTGGCACCACCTGAAGAATGTTTCACCAGTTGGATATAAGGGAACAAGCATGTTTTACTTACTTTACTTACTTATCTATCGGCAGACATGCTATAATATCAAGGTTAAAGTCATCATTAGTACAGACCGAGCTCCCAACCCAACTTTGAGAATAAATTCATCGCCAGACTTTTTAACGCCTATAACGGCCCACCAGTAATACCGTACATACATTTATATACTGTATAAATATATAAACCTTACTGAGTGCAAAACAGGGATTTAGGATTATGATTTCCTTTATTGAAGGTAACTTATCTAACAGTAACGTGCCCCTTGGTAAGCCATTAAGTACCGGAGACCTAGGTCAATGTACATCATCTATATGAAAGTTGAGGCAAAAACTACGGGGGAAGTTGGGGTCATAAAGTAAAACAAAAAAGTTAAACAATTGAAACTTTTTTTTTTTCAGTTTTTTTTTTTTTTTTTACACTTTAAAATTTTGTCTGTTTCAAATTTCTGACCCTGTTTTTCCATTGGGCCAGGGCTTCAGATAATTGTGTGGCATTATGACCAACAGCTCAAAACTGAATGGGAACTGTGAACTTGTCTTTAAAACATCAAAGTTATTCTATTTTTATCCAAACACTTTTGAAACATAGCATGCTTCATGTATCTAAGAAGAGAAGATTTACTCATTTCTTTTATGAATAAATACATTTAATATTCAATTAAAAATTGCTGATAGGATGAGCTTGGAGCCCAATGAAGCTGCAGGAAGCACATATAAACTTTATCATATTCCAGTCAGATGTTAAAGATTTAATAAACAGCTCAGTTTGGGGGAATATATCCGCTTATCGCTTGCTGTGGAGCTTATTCTGCATTTACTTTAATCCTAGCATGATGGCTTTGATTTTTGGTTCATCTTCCGTCGATATTTATGATGCTGTGGTTTTGTGTCAGCTTTTCAGAGGTTTTTGGGGAAGACGGATGTGTCCCAGGAGCTAGAAGAGGTCCACGTGGAGGCTCGAGCTCGGGACAGCCTGAACGCTGTGTCTGTGTTGGAGCTACTGAGGAGCCCAGCTGTTCGCTGGCAGCTCATCACAATCATCATCACCATGGCCTGCTATCAGCTCTGTGGCCTTAATGCAGTAAGACGATGCACACGTTTAGATTGTCATTTTTTCAGTATTTTGCTTACGATATTCTTGAATTTTAAGTGAAGTGAATTTTTTTGTTATTTCAAAAGATTAGTAAGATGTTTGTCCATCCCTCCAAACTATACTTTATTACCCTTTGTTAAGTAGCTCTACACCTCAGTCCACTGAGGTTTGCACCAATCTCTGCAGCTTCGATTACTTGAGCTCCTTAAAGAATTTCCAGTTTATAAGAGCATGTTTGTGTGATTTTTAACCCACCTGCTGAAAAAACTTGAGGGATGAGACACTGCTGTTGGATGCAGGGACCTCCTTTCTATAGTACCGACTTACAGGAATTCACTACCAGTTGACGTGCCTTTCTGATTACCAACCATTACATGGATCTGTTACTATTTTTAGTGCTGGCTCACTTGTGGTTCCCACTGCCACGTAACTCTAGAGAACCATTTGTCACTGATTGTCACTAGTCAAACACAATTTTAATAACTAATATGAATAATTACATCATTTTATGGTGCACTTATTAGATATATAAATGCTATTATGGCAAACTAGCTGTAGGTAGCATAAGCCGTAAATTGAGTTGTCTTACCTTCCTGTGTTGTCCTTCCATTTAATACCACATGGCCTCTCTCTCCTGTACATATCCCGGTTGCTTCATCTAGCTGCCAACAGCCTTCTTTTGCACTCATTCTTTACTGTGAGTCTACTAACAGCCATAAACAAAGCAATCTGTCATTTTGTTGGTGTCACTGCAAACCGCCTTACATAGGACTGTATGTCTGCCTTGCTGTTCAAGATTCCGCCCTTATTGAAATTGTAAAAAAAAATTTATAAATCTAAATGGAGTTGACCTCACCTTAATAAATATGTTTCCACTGAAATAGAGGATTTAGTCTCTGTTCTAAGTTTTCACTCAGTTGTTCGATCTAAACCTGGGTTTTGGCCAGGTCAAGCAGGTTTTTCTAAACTAAACTTCCTAATTTTGTGGCCTCCTGTATGAAGTGCATCTTTGCACAAAAAGAACTGCTGTTTAATGGAAGTTGGGATTTGTAAGTATGAAGGCGCATGAAAGTGTCCAACAATCCACACAAACTTTTGACCTGCTGTGGCTAATTTGCCACAGCCACATCTAAAACCTTGATGGATTGATTGATTGGCTTTATTAGTCTGACAGTGAAGACATTTGCTCAATAACTAGTCAAAAAGAAGAAGGAAAGAAAGATGCATATCTTCACACTGCTGGAGGACATCACCAGTGGAATGGTGGATTATTTACTGATTTAAATTGTCCAGCTTCACAGAGGGACACTGAAGAACTATGCGTCTCTGTGCAAAATAATGATCTAACTAGCCCTACGTATGTGCAATGGGAGTTTTTTTTAAGAAGGTGCTGATTGACATGTTCCTTTTTTATGAGCCGTTTCCCTGACTGCCACAGCCACATGTTTAGATTTTTTCAATTCTCTGAAAATCTGGTTAAATACTGTAGATACATATAACATTACAATTTTAATCAAGGGGATGTTTTCCTAATGGATTCAAAGCTATATTTGCACTTATATTGCTATAAAGGAAGATCGGTATACTGTATATCTTTAATATCACAACTGCTTTTATTAATATTCATTGCATTTTTGATACAAAGCTATGCTTGTATTTGTAAAAATTCACAAATGTAGTGGGGGATTGATCGGCTTGACTCAGAATTTTTTTTATAGCTACTGTAATAATAATTGCAACTATTGCAAATAAAAGCTGTATTGGAAAAATATTTCAAACAGGGTCCATAGGTGAGGGATGGTGTCCAGGTATACTGTGCATTTATTTCATTTTGGCCAAGCCCAAAAGCCTCAAAAGTCTAATTTTAAAATATAAATGTTGTGATGCTTTTCCGAATAGAAACATAACAATGATCAGCATTAGGTAATAACTGAGCTAAATTCAACAGCCATAGACAGCACTCACCTAAACTTTGTTGAACAAAATAGAACCAACAGGCTTTTAATTTTTTTACCCATTTATTCAGTAAGTAGCTGATATCTTTCGAGAAGTTGCTTGTTGGCTGTAATAAATGTCTCTGGTGTGTGTTGAAAAGTTCTCTCTGTAATGGCCTGATAGCCATGGTTGTTTGGACACAGGCAGGTGCCTTCCCAGTGTTTATACTAATTTCCATATGTATTTAGGGAGGGATGGGGGACAAAACTAATTGTCACCCTATTATCAATTCCACCTAATTTAGGATGTATGAAGGTTACAAATGCAGCAAGACATTTACATGTGGTTTTATATGTCTACACACGTTCTCTACACTAAAAATTTTCGCCAGCTTTTAGTATGAAAGCTGCAGACTCTTTCATGCATTTATGTAGTGATTCAGAATAGAGGACCCAGAATTCAGGCGAGACAGACAGTGGGATAATTTAGAAAGCACTTATTCAAAATGAAGGGCTGTGGATCTGCTGTATCAGCAGCAACTAGGGCGTCTAAAACAGGAACCTCTACAGGTTAGAAACACAGGTTATTGACCATGATAATCTGAAGGAGGATGATTACAAATGAGTGAGTCACTAACCTTGTTTGACAGTGCAGTCTGTGCCCAGAGAACGAGGATGGTTCCAGCCAGTCGGCTGACAAGATGCAGTGGACGCTGCCCGAGAATTCCAGACGCTGAAGCCTAGAAGGCTCCAGAACTGACAGGAGGTCAGATCCAAGAAGATCAAGGAAGGTAGGATAATCCAGGTCAAAATCAGAAGGCAGATCCAGGTTCAGTCCACAAGAAGATTTCGGCAGATGTCCGAAGACAGGTCAGTCAAACAGATCAGACAGGGGCAGGCAGGATCAAAGGTCAGAATATAGAAACAGGTCAGGCAATCAGAACACTATTAGAAACGCTAGAAAAGAGTCAAGAATAATCTGGCACAGACGGCTGGGACCAAGGAGATTGTATAGAAGCAGGAGCAGGTGGATCAGATGAGCAGTAATGAGAAACCAGGCAAAGTTAGACAGGTGAATGAAATGAGCAGTCATCAGCACCAAGATCATTATAATTTAGGTCTTTACTGCTACAGTATGTGTGCTGGTGGGGAGTATGCAGTTATACAATATAAAATAGAAATATTACTTTCGCTATAATTAAAGGGCAAAGCCCAACCTCGGGAAAACATCCCTGTGCTGTAATCCTCCCTGCGTCTTTGCTCCACACAATGATAAGTGCTGTTCTCCTGGCAACTACCAAACCCACACTTGTTTATTGGATTGCCATGAGACTCATGATTAATCGGTCTAATCAACATGTTTCCTCTGCTTTAAAAAGCATTTCCTCTCATGCTTTGCATTGCACTTGGTAATGTACAGCTTTGATGCAACTGCTTGGCCATGAAAACCAATTTGATGAAGCTCTTCACCCAATGTTATTGAAGTAATCTGAAGATAGTCACATGAGGTTTTGAGATCTGTAGCTGGTGACACTGCAGAATGTTTGGTGACCTCAGTGCACTATTAGCCTCTTTATCTAAGTTGACTGTGAAATGTTTAGCACCAAAGAAATATTATGGCTAGACTTATTGCACAGGTGTTCCTATATCATAAAATGATAAAACACTGATTTATTCATTTTAAAAATAATATTTAAAGAGGATTTCATCTCTGATTTTACACATTTGTAGTCATGTAAGGGAATCAAACACTTACATTTGTTGATTTGAAAAGGTGAGCAAACACATTAGGTTATAAAGTATATATATAATTCATAAAATATTGTAATGGGTTTCGTTTTTCAGGAATATTTTTCTCTGTTGGTCAAAGAGATTTGGATTCCCAAACCTCAGAAGTTCCTTGACAATATTTAAACATTTTCATCTAGTAGTAGTTTAAGAAATTTGTTTTGTGATCAGCACTGTAAAAGCAAAGTTACTTGGGCAGAATTCTTTAGTATCTGAAAAACAATTTAAAAATTCAGCAGGCATTTTGTACTGGACAGAAAGAATGCCATGACAGTTGATTTTCTACACTGCTGCTCAAACATTTCCACACCAATTTCAGTCCTAGAAGTGACAAAAACATCAAAACTTCTCATCAGGGGGTGGATCAGGTGTAGCGGCGAACAGCATTTTCACACCTTCCTTTGGGAAATCTGCTGTCACAGTTGTGACCCCATATGAGAGATTTCTTTCAAAACATGCCTTTTTTTCTGCTTTATTCCCAAGACAAAAGCCAAAGATGAAATAGGTTTCGGTTATGGATCTTCTTTGAATTTCCATATTAAAGACCACATTAAGGCCACATGAAAAAGAAAATATAAATCTTTTTAAACTAGATCAAGACTGTCATCATGAAGAAGGAAAAAACAATTTTTTGTCTACAGTTGATAATAAATAAGAATTATAATGTGTATGTAGGAAATAATTGTAAGGCTTTTAATGAAAAAGTAAACTTCAGCATAGTTTCTTGCTTGAACAAGATCAAACACTCTCTACAGGTTTGTGTTCATTATAAATCAAAACCCAGACAATCTAATGTTGTTTCATATACGCTTTGATCACAGCTTGAGCTGTTAATCCATATAGTGCAATGCAGGGTAAATATATTTCCCAAAGAATTGAAGATAAGTGCACATATCTCTGTAAAAAACACAGTAAATCAAAATCACCTCCCACAAACTGGAAACAAACATTTAATGCTTCATTTCAGTGCTAGACATGTATCAGTAAAAATGCGATGATGTAGTGAAGCTTTGTGAAAGATGAAGGTCTGGTGTTTAAATATAACAGTGATAAACGTTTATTGCAAATTCCCGAACATGTATGAGTTGTCCTGACACAACCAATAGAACTACACTTTGTTTTCCTCCTACAACATCCATAAAAAGAATAATCATCCCACAGGAGAGCGGTTTTCTGATGTTGCATAGAGAGTTAATGTTACGCCACCGTCTGTAAGCAAAGCTGCAATAAGAACTGTCTGCCACTGACTCACAAAACAACTAAAAGCGCTGCTACAAAGTCTGCAGTTTGTGATTTTAAGAAAATCTCAAGACTTTTATCTAGGAGCTGTGGTATATGAATTCATGTATTTTTTTTTGTTCTTATCTAAAAGTTTTCACTTTTACACCTTGTTCAATTTTACAGGAAGAGTTATATTTTCTGTTACTTGAACATTTTGGCAAAAAAAGAACATTTTAAATTGCTTCCTATTTGTGCAGAGGAAAGAAAAGGAAAAATAGCTTTGACATTACGTCATGCCTATATGTCTTTTGAAACATGGCTCGGCTAACTATGATCACTTAGAGACTGAAATGTCTTTGCAAACATGCTCAACCTCATTTTTAAGTTTTGCCACGAATTAAAAATGTTTACCATGTGCTCCCCATGCCTTTCGGTCTCTGTCATCAACTCAGACTGACCCTGAGTGCGCTTGCAGACAGGTGAGTTCCCACTTGCCTGCGGCACTATCGCAGACAAAGATGGGTTGTTCAGGTTCAGAAAGATTTCCTAACAGCTACTCTGTCAAGCCGATCAGTGGTCAGATTTATTTTTCTACCTAATAAAGTGCAGTGTGTTTTCTCTGCCTGTGCATAGCAACCCGCCTTGCATAGCAAATATGATGAGTTAAAAAACCTTTTGCTATAACATCAGCCCCCATTATGTTAAGAAGCTCAGTTTATTTTGCTCCATCTAGCCTTCAATCAACTATTTACAGCTTTCTTACAAGTATTTTTGCTAAGGAAAAATCGTCCCACAGCATGATAGTGCAACCACCATGCTTCGCAGTGGATAATAATCTAAGTGGAGCATTTCAGTCTGCATGTTTGTTTAGCCCTTAAAACTATTTCTTAGAAATTATAAATGAGATTCATTATAAATTTCTGTCAACTGAGAGTTTCTACTGGACAACCTTCCATAAAGGGCTGAACTGCTGAGTGACTAATATTGTCGTTAGCAGAGCTGCGGATTTTCCTTCGCCCTTACCATGGACTATATAGCTACTCTTCTTGTGACATGTCATTTAGGTGAATAATATTCTCTTGGTAATATTGCAGGTGTACCAAACTCTTTTTTCTTTTTGGATGATGGATTGAACAGTCATACAGGAGATGCATAAAGCTGGGTGAATTGCTTTATACTGTAAACCTAACTCCATATTAAACTCCTTCATAATGCTTTGCTGTAACTAACCTGTTGGCTGAGTTCAATATTAATTATTGGACACTACTAAATTTGTAAAGGCAATAAGGCACTAAATTTTTTGGGTATTTCACAGGAAAAGGAGTACAAATCAAGTGCAGGTACCACTCTGCTAAGCCGTTTAATTGTTAAAAAGAAGATAACTATGCACCATATTCTCTCCACCTTACAATTTTCCACTGCTTTGTGAGGGAATTTCAAATAAAAACGGAAATGAAATACACTTCACTACGCTACACTTAACAAATATGAACCAAGTCAGTCGGTGTCATTACCTTTTTTAATCACTGTGTGTGGCTCAAATTAGAGATTGGTAACATTACAAAAACCAGCACTTAAATAATCATCTGTAGTGCAATAAAAGGAGGCACAGTATGACCCTGTTCCCTTTTGAAAGCTATATTTTAGTTCTTCCCAAAGCGCAACTGTAAAAAATGAAACAGATGAAACAGCTGGCTGTATGAATACAAGCAGGAGTGGAAAAAAGAAATAAATTTTAGTAAAATATGGCTATTTGAATAGTCAACTATATGAAGATGACCTAATATATATGCAGTTAGGAGTGTCATTTAGATCGATTCTGCTACTTAATGTGCTCTTCAATACTGTCCCCTTGCCTAAATCATTTGATGCATAATTTTTCTATCCCTTTTTTGCTTTGTTATTAAAGCAAATAACAGCTTTCAAATCAACCCAATAGCCAACAAAAATATTCAGAATATACGCAAAATATCCGCTCAAATGACTATTTCAGTGATTAAGGAATAGAAAGCCATCTAAACCAACGTACAAAGGTAATACCCTTAAAAATGGCAATTGACCACAGAAGCTGATTCCAATTTCTCCACCCATGCTTGATATCTTCCAAACCTAGAACCTGGCTAGAAAAATCCCAGTGAGCATCACTTTCTCCCCTGACCCGAAGAAAGAGAGCTTTGCTAGTTATTTTTACTGCTTGATGGCATTTGTTGCTGCTAAAGATGTTGGCATTTTTTACATTTATAAAGAGAAAATAATAATTTTTAAAACTGCTTTGAATAAAATTAAGATGTCTGGCAGCAACAAAGTCATGCTTAGATCCATAAAAACAATGGTCAAAACTGTGTTTTTATGACGGAAGGAAGAAACTTCCCTTGATGGTCTGAAACATTTAAATGCAACAAATAAAGCAAAAACAGAAGAAATATGAAAATGGGAAGATAACTTTTCTCATAACTATATTTTGTATTCAAACTCCCTTAGTTTACGACATTCTTTGAGCTTAAGGCTATTTAGACATCTACTTGAGTTTCCAACCACATGAATCCCAGAGTTAATCGAGTTATGGGATGTTTTGATGACAAGGGCTCCATCTGAATAATCTGTCTTTTCAAGGTCTAATCACATTGTCAGTCCTGTTTTTATGCAGATTTCTTCTTCCTCTTACTTAGTTCCAGGCTGATAAAAAATCATAACAGAGAATAATTCTCTCAGCTCCAAATACAAAACATTTTTTAAACAAACCCCGATAATTCTCAAAAATTAAACAGTTTTATTGATTAATAAATAAAATGAGCAAATGTCCATTTGTTTTTCTTGCAGATCTGGTACTACACTAATGGGATCCTACGGGAAGCAGGCTTAGCAGAGAATTTACTCCCCTACATCACACTGAGCACAGGGGCTACAGAGACTCTAGCCGCCATCATCTCAGTGAGTATGCCTGATGCCTTTACTTGTTCAAACACAAAGTAGTCTTTGTGTTGGTGTTGAACAGTTTCAATTGAATTATCAGTGGGGAAAGGAGATTATTCTGGTACATTTTTATTCATTTTCTGTGAATACTCTCCGCATGATGCAAAAAATACCAACTATTGTTTTAAATATAGTTAGGTGTAAACTACTCTACTAATGTTTTATTGCTTTTTTAATCATGTTTCAGGTCAATAATAAACAACATGACTATGATTATCATTTCTATATTCAATGCTGTATTTACTTGTCTAATTTGATTGCATTTTCTTTGTAAAGTAAAGATGCTATTACACAAGGCTTCCAGGGAACCAGTTTTTTACACTCTGTACCTTTCCTTTTGAAATATTGTTCTTTGTACACTGAGTCACATATAGCAGTTGATATGTATCCAACTCTGTAGGATATACAATACACCTGTCGTTATTGAAGTGCAAATGCCAAGAGCACAACTGCTTTAGTCCATGACTGACAAACTGTAGAAGTCAGAACATGAAAGCTCACAGAGGCAGAAAGTCTGAAAGAGGGAGTAAACCAAAGAGCATCAGCCTGTTGTTCTATGTGCTCTGGTTAGATGATAACAGATCTTGAGGTTGAATGTAGGGTCAGAGATACAGTATCAGACTGAGGGATCACTTATTATAAAAAATGAAAAAACAAAACAAAATGGGGAGTGGTGGTGTAGTGGTTAGGGCATCGTGCTTGGAATCCAGAGGTTCTGGGTTCACTCCCACAGACTGCCACTCTGAGTCCCTAAGCAAAGACCCTTAACCCCACACTGCTCCCCAGCCGCCGCTTAATGGCAGCCCACAACTTCCCAAGGGGATGGGTTAAATGCAAAAGTAAATTTCTCCAGTGTGAGATCAATTAAGTTCTATTATTATTATTACTTATTAATTTTTTTTTAATAAAATTTCCCCTCTTCTAATATATAATCATATAATTACAGACTACTAAAGTTGTTATTTATCCCAGTTGTTTTCCAAAAATGAAAACATTTGATTCCACTAGGTAATAGCTAGATAACTTTATTTTTTATAAAAAAAAAAAGAAAATCTATGCACAAACGGAGATTGTTTTATGGAATTAAAACGTAGCTGGCATTCAAATCATGTTAGAAAAAAGTGCTCATTTGCTAGCCTATTGATAACTGCCTTTAAAATCCTCTTAATAAGAATTGATATCAGTGCTGCACTAACAATATTAACAAGTAAATACAGGCATCTGAACTCATGTCCACACGTTAGGAAAGGGTTCTAGTTGTTCATAGCCAGAAAAAGTCACACGTTTAAAAAAAATCCCCAAAATATTTGGAATGTGAGGCAACATGTATTGAATAAAACCCTAGTTTACCAAAATACTACATTTCTACAAATAAAACGGCTTGTTATGGACTGTAAAACTGCTAGTTCAGATAGGCTTTTGCTTATAACTTATCAAGCCTTTTATATCCTCCATGTTTTGCTCTGTTGGCTGAGCATTTTTACATTTGCCTTTGTTTTTGCTGTGAAGTCTGTTTTTTTTCCTTTAATATAAAACTTTTAGAAGGTTCTTATTAAGCCAAAGACAATTTTCTTAGCTGTCTTGCTGCAAAATGATCCTACTTGATATTCTTTTTGCTGCATATACAGTAGATAGTAAGTTTACTAATAAATCTTTTTATATTAAATTTAACTTGGCTGTAAAAGTGGCAAAGCTCTTCTCGTCTGACCTCCTTTACTCTTTGGAGCAAAGAATACCTCTGTAACATGGACAGAATCACCTCAGAGAAAAATATAAATCTATAGTAAAATAACCCACAGCACCCTTCCCTACATCGCATTAGGTTAGCACATACGTTTATCCAATTTAACCCTCATTTAAAAATAAAAATGAAGCTATTATGCTGTGAATTTGTGTCCTGTTTTAATTGTTTTAAAGGGAGATTCATGGACATTGGTAAAGGTTACAGATGTTAGTATACAAGAGTTAACAAGGCAGCTAATTTTCATTTATTGTCTCATAGCAGGTGGCATATAACAAATAAAACAAGGCTAAAATGATGCTTTAATATTCATTACATGGTCGTAAAATTCCCTCCTAGAAATTAAACAATTAGATGCTGTTATTGAACCGTTTAAAGCATATGTTAAAGCCTGGCCTATTTGTAAAGATAAAACACTTTATTTTTAAAAGATTATTTGTTTTTATTATCATACTGTATATTTGATAAGGTAACTACAGTAGTTAAAGATGGGATTTATTCTACTATTTAGCAGGAGCATGCTACTCTACATGGTGAACTAAACTTGCACAAAAGATGAAAACCTTTCACTTTCTCTTATTTGTCCTGTTAATATGACTTTACATTTTAAGCACAGTGTAAACCGAAAGGATATCACTTAATCAGTAAAAGCTGAACCAAAACATGATGTGTGTCTTCTTTGAAATGTTTGTTAGTATGACCTTTTTGGACAGAATGCTAAAACTATATTTTCATGGCTTGTATTAAGTGATTTATTCAGACTAGTGACTAGAATAAACCTTCATGATGCTGTGACATCATTTTCCATCTCCAGCATCTGACTTCTGAGAGGAGTTTGCATTGATAACAGTCTTGTTAAGTTTGAGGACTTCTGCAAAATGTAAGCAGTCACCCATGGATGTGGAATTCTGAATGAGTTTGTTGACAGTTTTGTTTTCAAGCTTAAACTACTCTTTGTTCTGTATCTTGTTTAGTGAAAAAAGATATTCCCTTTGTCTTGAACTAATAAACAAATAAAAGTTTATCAGTTTTGTTTTTAAAGGAAGGATGTTGAACCAGTATAAATAATGAATCTCTGACCAAATAACAGTTTGCAGGATCAAAATCTCTGTTTTTCACCACTTAGCCTTAAAAAAAAAGTGATATAAAACTGAAATCATATATTTTCAGCCTGAATATCTCCTGAGATTGCCTCAGATTTTTTTCTCCTGAATCCTAATGCCATAGGCCAGAGACTAAAACATATGGATTTATGTGAGAACAAAGAACATGGTGCAGATTACCAGAATTTTAAGCAAGAAAGGGTTTAAAAGCTCTTTTTAATCAGCTGCTTAATTTTTGACACTTAGTTGCTTTGACCCAGAGTTATTTAACAATGAGGAAACACTTTTTTTATGTTTTTTTTAATTACTTAATGTGGATATAATAAAATGTATTACATGATATTAAAGTAAATATTAGGTGAAGATTTGAATTGATTTTCTCTTTTGTTGAGTCCAGTTAAAATATTTCCTTTTCTTCTTAGACAGAAACACATAAAAAAGCAGTAGGAAATATTCCCTGCCATCTCTCATTAAATAAGCATATATGGATCCTATATGATATAAATTGGATCCTCGAAATTGATTTGATGCTTGTCAACATGAGTACGTTGGAGTCATTTTTTTCTAACCTTGATTGAGTAAATCTGAACCAATTCTCACATTCCAACAGTAATTTGAAATTCAACTGGAGGTAGACTGACATTTGATTATATCACCCTTTTTATGAGCTGTTCTTCTGATTAAAATAATCATCCAAAATTAAATTACTCTTTTTTTAGTCAAATAAATTGTCATTGAAAGATCCTTTTTTTATAAAACTGTCCAGACGTTTTTTCTGTCAGTCAAAGCTAACTTTAATTTAATGTCTCTTAAAACAATTGTGGTTCATGGAGAGTTTAGATTCTGGTTGTCTCCTTTTCCATGTTTTTATAAAATTAAGTAATGTTTATGTCTTTGATTTTTTTTCTTCCCAACTATAATTCTGGGATTTGATTTAGTAGTGCAGCAACATACATTACTACAAGTTCCTAGAGACATTTCAATTTTCACTTAATCGACAGTAAAATTAAAATATGTCCTCCCTTAAAATGAAAAAAAAAAAATAAAAATAAATAACATTAAAACAATATCAAGTGTGGACATTAAGGATGACTGATTAAAATGTTTAGATTTTTTCTATATCGATAATCCTCCTTTAAAACAACGCAGTTGCTACTAAATTGATTTGTATTAGTTTTATATTCAAAATAAAAAGCATTTTGACCTTTACTAGTTCCAGTAGGTCCAGATATTTGTGGGGATAATGAAAAAAAAACTCTGCAGCAGGCTTCAAGATGTTGCTTTGTTGATTTGTCTCTCAAATATCATAGCACACACATTGCTGAGGTAGGAAATAAATAATCCCAGGCTTTGCTTTAGCCTTTGCTTGATTTTAGTTGCAGTGGTTATTACGCAGATCGGCCAAAATTCACAAACAGCAGTTCGTCTTCTTCCCTTTCCATATTTTTAGATAAAGATTGGATGAATTATGCAGAAAGGTAAAGCATTCCAAAGGCAGGTGACTAATTTTCAGACTGATGTGACAGAATCACAAAACTGTAAGGAAATATGAACAGTCAGTTGGAATCCTCCAGTTCAGATATAATCAGCTTTGGGATTACTCAGGCTCCACATGAGCTGACCCAGAACAAACCATCTTTTTCTGGTATTCCCTCATCATGCGCAATAATATACGGCTGCTTTCTGTTGTTCTCCCCCAGATTGCCTTTGAAATTAGAGCAAAGCCTTTTAGCTGCAGCCTGTTTGTGTTGTACTTTTTATCATGTCCTTGTGTGAGCTTTGGCTGCACAGCTATTGCTCTTTTTTTCTTTACTTTCACCCTGTTAACATTTTATTTGCTACAATGGTCGCTTTGTTATACAGAAGCAAAGGCTGTGGATCAGTGAATTGTGTTTAGACTGTTTCTGCTTTGGTCATTTTCTTTTTTCTGGCACTCGTTTCAGTTTTGTATACAATTATAGAAACCAACACTAAGCTATAGGGAGAAAAACAATGTTAAAAGTTATAGTTTATGTGAAAGTTTTTTTAAAAGCGAACTTTTTGTGCAACCATGAGTAAATGACTACAGTATGACTCAGACTTTTTTGTTGGATGGGCATCTGTTTGTCTGTTCT